AAAAAAAAAAAAAAAAAAAAAAAAAGAAAGGACCACACAAACTTGAGGATCCTCCCTAAAACAGTGAGCCACCAAAATCATTTTAAGAGTGGGCAGGATCAGTGGATATTGGGAAAGGGGAAGGAGAAGAGGAGTCAGGGGCTGGAATGGGGCAAGGAAGGTGTCCAGAGGTCTGAATGGGGAAGCTGTCAGTCCATGACACAACCATGGTGAAGGAGAAATCAGCAACTTCCTCCTAGTGCAGTCTGCTGTCTGGCCTCCAAGACTTCAGCTGAGCATTGAAATGGGATCCTAAGCAGCCCCAGAAACGTATTAATTCTACAATTATGCAATTCTCCTTATGTAAAGCTACCCTGACACAATACATCACCCTAATTTCCCCTGCATGTGGTACCAATATGCAAGAAGTCATCTAACTCCAGAAAACACTATTTAAGCAGCCACTCCTACCTCCTCCACCTACCAGTATTCTCTGATGTAGTTGCTGCTTTAGCAAGAATTAGTGCCCGTGACCTATTGGACCAGAAGTGTGAAAGCTCACTCTGGAGCCAAAGCTTTACTTTACACCGCACTTTAATGCTTAAAGCTGATGACAAGTGGTGCAATTTATTCCTTAAATTCCTCCAGCACTGATTCCATCAGTAACTAATTGTTCCCCAAAGCGGTACTGCACTCCTCAGGAAACTAGGATGTTTGATGTCTGACAGGCTGGGATTAGTCCAGTGCTTAGATGAAGAGATAGACAATGTGGTCCTTCTCAACCATCAAGATATCCAGGAACAGTGTATTTAAAAGGTTCCATGGCAGAAACTATGAACAAACTAGTTTTAAAATCCACATATTCTTTGCTTCCTTTATGAAAAATAACTATCAGCAGTAAAGCAGGTTTTAACAAAATAAAGTCAGATGCTATAAGATGTTCTAGAACTTGCTAGTCCACTCTGAGGAGGAAGCAGCAGCAGCCTGGGGCTTATCAGAAATGCGGTATCCTGTGTCCCCCACCCTGCCCCATCTTTTGCAAGAGAGAAGCCGGAATCTGTTTTTTGACAAGCTCCCCCAGGTAACTGACATGCCCACAAATGTTTATGAAGCAGTGGTTTAAAACAGCAAGTCTTATATTAAGAACATTATTTTTGCATTTGTCTATGCTTAATTTGTGTTCACATGCTATTGGATAATTAGATATTTTATAAGATCCTTTGGATTTTAATTACATTTGAAAATGCATTTGATCTGAGACACCTAGTAGTAGCAGCCATTGTTGTTCATATATTCTGAAAATGTACCACGTGCCAAACGCTATTTGAAATATTCATGTGTTATTTAATTCTCACAACCACCCTGCAAGGCAGATATTATTTTCACAAGAGGAACTGAGGTATATATAGAGAAAATTAATAAGGTCATGGAGATAAGAAGTTGCAAACCAGGATGCAAAAGCCAGGCTACCTGGTTCTAGAGCACATGTGCTAACCTTGATGCCCTGGGGTTCCTCTTAGTTCACGCAACTCCAGCAAACATGTGCTTTGCAACAAGACATGGTTTCGTGTAAATGTGACTACATGACCAGGTGCCAATTAAGGGAATGCCAACTAATCACAGGACCCATGGAAAAGTTTAATTTTACTGTATACTTCTCTCTGGATTCAGAATAGATGATCCATAGCCTAGTTCTAGGTCCCTAATTTTGGTAGTATAAAAGAAAAGTTCCCCTGTCTCTACCAAATACAAAAAATTAGCTGGGTGAGGTGTTGTGTGCCTGTAATCCCAGCTACTTGGGAGGCTGAGGTGGGAGAATCGCTTGAACCTGGGAAGTGGAGGTTGCACTGAGCTGAGACTGCACCACTGCACTTCAGCCTGGGTGACAGAGCGAGACTATGTCACACACACAGACACACAAAAAGTTCCTTTGGGACTGCCTCACTAATTCCTATACACCAATGCATACATCTTGAAAGCAGTTTTCAACATGCATTTCCTGGAATCC